CTGTGGCTCAAGTGGTAGAGCGCTAGCCTTGAGCTGAAGAGCTGAGGGACAGCGCCCAGGCCCAGAGTTCAGGCCCCACGACCAGACCCCCCTCCTCCAAAAAAAAAAAAAAGCTAGCCTTGGTTCTTACCACTTTTAGCTGGTTCATTCTCCACTTCTCTTTGACCACAAGAAAACTAAGACAGCAAAGTTCAAGTTACAGTAAAGAACAAGGGTGAGAAACTAAAGCCTGCCTTAAGCCTGACAATGACTGTGTTCTTTTACAGACAGACAAGGTTGGAAAGGCCTTTAAGTACTTGGAAGCCATCCTGTCCTTCATTGAATGTGGAATTGCCATGGAGTCAGAAATGCCAGCATCGAAGTCAGCTTACACGGTGTACTCAGACACTGTGGATCTTATTAAGTAAGTGTGAGGGGTTCCTCTCCTCACCTTGACTGTCTATGCCCCTGGAACCTTAGTGTTTAGAAAGGAGAGTCTTGAAAAAGTTACCAGGGGTAGGGGTGCAGTCCAGTGGTATTGCACACATGCCACTCATGAGCCCCTGGGTTCAGTTCCCAGCACTTTTTTGTTGTTGTTGTTGTTGCCCAAGAACTCTTTTTTTCCTAGGTGAAATTGTGATCTGATCTAGATGAAACACAGAATGACTGGGTCCCACTCTCTCATCTTGCCAAGGTGTGCTGAGAAAGCCAAGCCTTGGAGGGAAAGATTGGCCTTTCCAGTTCAGCTTTCTTATCTCTGTTGCTCCGGTGTGTGTTTACCTCACGGTGCAGGGGACCGTGAGGACACTGTGGCACCGGTATGAGGAGGCAGACAGGCCACAGGGCCTGGGTTTTCTGAATGGTCTCGTTGTTGCTCTAACGCGTCCCTGTTTTCTGGGCTGCACCCAGTCTTAGAACTGCAGGAAGAGTCAGTGCCCAGCACGGGCATGACAAGGTACGCGGGCTGGGATCTGTGACTGCCTTTGTTTAACCTCATGTATCTTTACACCTCTCCTTAGATTCGTGATGTCATTAAAATGCTTCTCTGATGCCACCATGCCAACACAAGAGAAAATATTTGCTGTTTTATGGTGGGTACATTTTTCTTTGTCTAAATAGCACCAAGTCAGTGTTTCTCTGGATGTGAAACACGAGTTTGAAATTTGCTTTCTTCTTAATGTAAAAATTGTGATGAGAGGCATGTGAGTCTCTTGGTGGTGGGTTGGTTGTGATTAGGGCCGCATGGCGTCTGCTGCTGCTTCACTGCGGACTCAGTGACTGCAATGGTCTTGCGACATAAATCCTATCCACATACATTTGTGTTTTCCAGTCTGCGTCCTGCAGTCCAGTACCTTTCCTCTCCTGGGTACTCCATTGTACTTTTGAGGGATAATTGGCTCCTTTCTGTGTGGCAGAGTCCTTTCCATGAAGCCGCATGGGTCACTGTAACTTGTATTTTTGTTCACAGCATGCGTTGCCAGTCTCTCCTGAACATGGCCATGTTTCGCTGTAAAAAAGACATAGCAATAAAGTATTCTCGTACACTTAACGAACACTTCAAGAGTTCTTCCAAAGTGACACAGGCACCTTCTCCATGCGTTGCAAGGTAATGATAAGTCTAATTTCATTCATCTACAAAACAAATGCATCTCACTATTTACTGCTTTAGCAGCTGCTGGTGTATATATAGCTGATGCTAGATTTTAAAAATTCACATGCTTTATCTTTTTGCTTACTTGCTCCTTCACTGAAGTCCTTAGCATATTTTTGCTTTTTGAGAACTAGTTAGGAATCAAGCTTTTGGCTGACTGGACGACATCAAAGGTATAGTGTGGGGGATACTCTTAGAGGAAGAGCCTCCATCCCTCTGTCACACAACACAATGTGGAAATGAACGTTAGGAAATGTAAAGAGATTTTTCTTTCTGTTAAAAAAAAAAAATAAGAGCTGGGTGCTGGTAGCTCATACCTGTAATCCTAGCTACTCAGGAGGCTAAGATTTGAGGATCATGGTTCGAAGCGTGGGCAGAAAAGTCCCTGAGAGACTCTCTCTTTTTTTTTTTTACTATTATTTCATTTTTATTATTATTATAAAGGTGATGTACAGGGTGGGTCCAGTTACATAAATCAGGGAATGAGTACACTTTCTTTTTGGACAATGTTACTCCTTCCCTTACTGTCCTGTTTTCTTTTTCTAAAAGTTTTTTTTTTCTTTTTATTTTGAAAATACTGTACAGAGGGGTTACAATTGCATGGGCAAGATAATGAGTACATTTCTTATCAAGCATTGTAGCCTCCTCCCTTGTATCCCCTTCCCATCCCTTCCCATCTGCCCCCCCCCCATCCAATTTCCCCCCTCCCCCCCCACCAAAGTTGAAAAGTTCGTTTTCAACATAACGACTTGTACGTCTCGACTCTTATCTCCAGTAAACCACCAGAAAACCGGAAGGGGCACTGTGGCTCAAAGTGGTAGAGTGCTAGCCTTGAGCAGAAGAGCTGAGGGACAGCGCCCAGGCCCTGAGTTCAAGCCCCATGACTGACCTCCTCCTACTCCCCAAAACAAGTACAGTGCTTACCCACTGGTGACACAATTCAAGACCCCAAGTGGGTGCTTGAAACCACAGATAGTACCAGTCCCCTATATATACTATGTTTTTCCTATACATACTCGTAAGAGTTTATAAATGAAGCCTAATAAGAGATTAATAACAAGGGTTATGAATGTGACTTGGAGAGAGTGCTTGCCTAGCATTTCTGAGGCTCTGGATTCCATTCCCAACTCTACCCATAAATAATGATGATGATGATGATAAAACAGCAGTATACCATAATAAAACTATATGTAGTGTTGTATGTGCACTGTCTCCCTCTCTCCCTCCTTTGTCTCCTCTCCATCTCTGTATTTGAAACTGTGTAGTCCCTTTGGCTTGGGGTAGAGAGGTAGGGCCCAAACTTAATGATTCTCCTTTGCTAACCTCTCAAGTGCTGGGATTATTCACTACCACCAGTTCAGGTTTCTTGCTTTTTTGAGTTTGATCATATTGCTTGGGAACTTCCCAGTTCTGAAAGGTTTTACCATTTTTCAGAGCATCACTTAGCAGACTGTCCTCTTTCCAGCAATTCAAAAGAAGACACTCCCATATGGCTTCTTGAAAATGTACTGACTGAGAAGTAATTTATTACTGCTGAAAACTTCACCAGGCACACTGCCTGTTGACAGTCACATTGTCGTAGACAAGCCAACCACTTGTCCAGCTGGAGTACCTCTTCACATGAACCCTGGTAGCTCCTGGGCATGTAGCAGGAGCCAAGGCAGAGACAAGTGCTCCCCTCAGAAATATTTCTCTATTGTCCCTGAAAATGTGCACTCTGCTGGGCATGCTTCAGGATTGTCAGAGCTCGCTCACAAAGCAGATGCATCATGACACTGCTGCTACATCATTCTAATACCATTTGCTTTTTTTTTTTTTTCCAGTCGTGGGGCCTGAACTCTGGGCCTGGGCGCTGTCCCTCAACTCTTCAGCTCAAGGCTAGCGCTCTACCACTTGAGCCACAGCGCCACTTCTGGCTTTTTGCTTTTTGCTTATGTGGTGCTGAGGAATCAAACCCAGGGCCTCATGCATGCAAGGCAAGCGCTCTACCACTGAGCCACCTTCCCAGTCCCATTTGCTTTTTATGTCTAAGTGATTTCCTTGTTTTTCTACATGAGCCACATGAGGTGTCTGATGACTAGATACTAAGCTAAGGGCAGAGTAGAGAGAAATGAAGTTTCTTGATACTCTTCTTGTGTCCACTTCCTCCTCCTGTATTCTGTATCTGTTCGTTTATTTGGGAATTAATCAAGAATCCACATGAGTGGAGGGAGCAAAGGTGAGCAAGTGCAGTCATTCTATTTGATATACATTATGTAAAAAATGAGGGTGGAAATGAGAGGAGGAATAATAGGGGAGAACGAAGGGGTGACATTGATCAAGAAACGTTGTCCTCATAATCTGATTTATGGGATGGGAATTTCTTTGAATGTGTACTTAATACAAATTTAAGAAAACACATGCTAACTGCTAGTAAGTCAGAATTAGTAGGGCTTGGCCTCTGTTGTGGTGTTGTGACTCAGGAAAAGGAGGTTAAGTCGAGAAAGAGAGAAGTTGCAGTGGTGGCCGAAAGGAAGCCATGCTATCTCCATAGTGGCGAGAGTGAGCACTCTGATAGCAGGTGAAGGGCTGAGCTGCAGGGCTGGCCATGTAGCTCAGCGGCAGAGCTCCTAGCTGACGTGCCAGAACCCCAGCACTCCACACAAACAACAACCCCCCCCCCAAAAAAAAAAAGCCCACAGTGAAATACAGTGTGGCTAGCAGTACATGGGATACGGGCATGGGAAGAGGAGGGATTCCCACAGAGAAAGTGGAATGCACAATGGATAGCGTGCTGGTCCACAGAGATACCTCTCACCTTTTGGGAGTCAAAGATTATCATTCTGCCAGGAGTACACTGAAGCACTGTGGCTTAGACCATAACTCTAGAGACAGGAATACTGTGCTCTGGGACAATAAAGTGATTAACCAGTGTTCTCTCTCTCTCTCTCTCTCTTGCCCCCCCCTTGCAGAAGCACAGGCACCCCATCCCCTCTCTCTCCAATGCCTTCTCCTGCCAGCTCTGTAGGGTCCCAGTCAAGCGCTGGCAGTATGGGGAGCAGCGGAGTGACTGCCGCCATCAGTACCCCGGTCTCCATCCAGAACATGACCTCCTCCTATGTGAACATCACATCCCATGTCCTTACCGCCTTTGATCTGTGGGAACAGGCCGAGGTTCTTTTGAGGAAGAATAAAGGTAAAGGGCTCTCTCACCAGGGAGGTGCACAGACTCGGAGACTGGGAGGGAGTACTGCACTCTGTCTCATGTTCAATTTTTTGAAGACAAGGACATGAAGAGCTGCTTACTCCTCTCATTTCTGCCTCCTGCCTCCTAACGTAGCTGTTTTTCTTCTTTGAGCTCTGTGGCTAGATCTGAGCAAAACCAAAATGGAAGTGGCTTTTGTACCTTGCCTGCTCACAAGTTCTGCTGTCATCATTGCAGCCCAGGCAAAGCATTGGCTGTTCCTAGGCTCAGCACATTGGAGATAGGAAGTAGCACAATCCCCATGCTGAGTTTGTTTGCAGTTTACCCTAAGAAGAAAAGCTGGAACCACAAGGCAGCAAATAGGCTCAGTAAACTCTCTTGAAACATGCTGGGAAAGAAGGCCCTGGAGAAACCCAAGGCTGAGGAGCAGTTAAGGTCCCCCAGAGTTCCGCTGGTGCCAGTGGCAGCTTGCACAAATGAGTGCCTAGTGAAGGCCATTCATTTCAGTTCTTTTCCAGCTGTAGAGAAGAAGGCAGCCAGCTAGCTGTAGCCTCTCAATTTCTGTACAGCCTCTTAGATTTTTGTTAGCAATATAATTATGCTTTTAACATCATTCAATCAGCATTTTCCCTTGTTTATTCATAGTCGATCCAAATGTATAAATTGGGTAATAAAAAGTGCCAGCTCTAAAGCTAAGTTTGTTTCTCCCCTTCTAGAATTGACAGCTACATTAGTCTGTGAGATGTGTGTGTGTGTGTGTGTAGTTTTATAGGTTTATATATATGTACATATATATATATATATATATGATGTGATAGATAAACTGTAGGATTTGAAGGGGTTATAACATCTATTTTATATGTGCATATGTATTTACATTCATTCTTTTCCTTCCTTTCTTTTTTTTTTCTCCCCCTTCAGAATTTTTTGCTCAACTGAGCACCAAAGTATGTATCTTGGCCCTCAATAGCAGTTTAGTGGACCTGGTACACTATACAAGACAGGGTTTGCAGCGGCTGAAACAAGTAACCAAAACACCTTAACGTGAGCCCAGCTGACACAATGCCTTGGAAACTGTTTTGCACATTGGAAGCCTCAAAATCAGCATAGACATTTGTCTCATTAGACGGCATCAAACTCCAGTAGGGAAGCAGAGATGGAGGCCAGCCCCAGAGATGATGTTGCTTTTCCGGAGTAAAGGATGGAGGTGCAGTATGCCCTGATGGGCATATCGATGGTCTAGAGACATTTCTGTGCTTTTGTTTTGTTTTGTTTTTGGGTGTTTTGTTTACTCCACAGAATACAAGTTGCAAATGAAATGAGGAGAAGCAATTTCAACTCTGAAAGCAAGTTCTTTTCATCTCAGTAGCCATACTAATCCCATTTCCAAAAGGAATTTTAAAAAAAAAAAAACAAAACAATGATTTGTGGTGAAGGGTTTTGTGGATGATTTTTTAAAAATGTTTTTGGGGAAACATTGCTTCATGAATTCTAATGGCCATCTGTAAAATATAAGTTGTGAAGGACTCCATTATACCCCTCGTCCTGCTGTTGAACAGTGGCTTTGATTCTAAGGATTGGTATTTATACAACTGAAGGTGATTCCTGGCCCTACTCCCTAAACACATTTTCCCCCGTGAAGATTTCTTTTACTGTGCTGAAAGGCAGCCCAAATGGAGCACTGGAGGAGGAGCGGCCACATTTGGGAGCATCTCATACCCCAAGAGGACTGGCGCTTCCATTCCTACCCTACTCCAGGAAGGCACGTAACTAAAACATCGATGATGCTCTAAACAGCCCACCTTGGGGGAGGAGGGAACCAACATTTATACCTGACCAGATCGCTAAAGTGGTTTTTAATTTTTGTTTAACTGAGCTGGAATTCAAGGTGCTGATGGGTGGTTTGTAGCTGTGTGGTAACTATTCTAATGAACTCAGAATTTTGTCAATGAACAAAGAAAAATGAAATCTTCTTAGGCTATATTTTTCTGTTACAGATTATATTTATAACAAAATGAAACTTTCCAGTGTCTTGATTGTCATGAGGAAGTTAATTTCCTGACCAGATGTGAAGATTTGGAGTATAAATTTGACTTTGAAAACATTGCCACTACATGCCTTCACTTCAGAGTGTTGTTGGCCAACTCGATTTGATTAAGTTGAAGAGGAACTGTGGCCTTTCCATAAGCTGTCACCCTGCTATCTACATTAAACCAAAATCTATTTGAAAGAACTAAAATGAAAGAACAAAGAATTCCCCCAGGCCCATAAGCACAGTTTTTCCTTGAAACTTAGAAGGTTATTATTAGAATACTCGTTTGAGTTCAGTGTTTTTAAAAGCCAGTGCTTTATATCCCTTTTATATGTAGAACTTGAACATGTATTAAAATCGAAGAGTTAGAGTTATTCCTAATCGGTCTTTCTCTCCTGTTGCCTCTGCACCTCTACACATTGTTGTTACCTTTGTATTTCATTTCACAGTTATTTGTGAAGCCACGTGCAGCCCCTGTGATGAATGTGAGAACACTGTTGGTAGATTGACTATATGGAGGGCCCTAGACATGGGAGTGAGCTCACTTGTCACAGCGGGAACTCTGTGTGGCGATGTCCCTCTGGCTCTTCTGTACCACTGGCTTTACCCACAGAGTGTTAATATCTGAGCAGAAGACCTTCATATGTGATCCTGATGAAGCAGTTTTCTTTATTGATGCACTAAAGCAGCTACTCTCTCTAAACAGCTAGTTTTAAAACACGAACACTGGTGTGAACAGTAATTGGCCTTGGTAGTTTTGTTGTGCATCCTATAGAGGGGCGAGCAGCTAGCCTAAGGGCTATATGATGGCTGCAGCATTATGCCTTTCTTACCATCTGCTCATGGCTCCTGAAACAAGCTGTATGGAAGTTATGAAGGGCTTTGCTGTATGTGCTGAGTTCTTTCTGAGCTGACAGCCAGTGTACCCTTGACTGAAAACATTCCCCAGGAGATTTCTCAGCCAATTTGAAAAGAACAGGTTGCTTGTTCACAGTGACTGCCTTTGTGGGGTTTTTCTTCTCTCCCTTCCAAACTCTATTAAAAATATATTTGTTCTTTGGAAAATCAATGAATTTGGGTATATTAGCTTGTACTGCTTTGGACATTGGATGTTTCTAGTTCTTACTGCAATATTCATTTACCTAAAAGATAATTGCTAATGACTGTCTTTGTAATGGAATACGTAAAAGGTAGTTGCTGGTGAAATGTGTACTAGGCTGAAGGTCTTTATGCCTTACAGTTGTATATAGAAATCTGAAGGAATTTTTAAACATTTGCACTTTTCCACTGCATGCTTACAAAGGCAACATTTGCACGGATACAGATAATTTGAGAGATTAGATCATAAAATTAAGCCTTTGGATATGTGAAGTTCTGTAACAATAATAGTATACACTTCACAGTGAGACAGAAAAGTATCCTTAAGAAGTGAAAATAAAGTGCAAATGTTGTCTTTGCCACTACAGAGGAGTGTGTCTGCCTGTAATAGGAAATAGAACATTGTCTTTGAAAAGTGTCAAATGTTTCTGCTCTGGGAGATCGTTAAAATGTGAATCAATGAATTTAAGAGCCTTTCTAAATAATGAAAAACATTTTACTGAAACTTAGCATATCACCCACGTTGTGAAAACATAGGCCACAGGGTGGCCGTGGGATGGGGATGGGAGAGCCCACTGAACAGTTATTAGAAATGAATTACAACAAGATGGTAATATGAAATGCATAATGAGAAAAACATTTGACTTTTTTTTTCTTAAACAAAATGCCCTTTATTTTGTAGATGTTTTAGCAGATATGTGTAACTAACTGTCCTGGACAAATTGGGCCATCTTTATCTCCCTTATTCTAATTCTAGAACTCAGGATGTTTAGAAACCAACTCAACCCACTTTGGGTTGAAAATATTTGCCTTAATTAGGTGTACCTTACATAAGAGCAGGAGTTTAATCTTACTGTGATTCCTGCATGGAAACTTTTGAAAACAAAACTCTTGTTTCTTCACAACCGTTATCTTGGATGTAGACACAAATGATTAAGGTGCATTTGTTTGTGCTTTGATTGATCAAACCTAATTTTGAAATAATGGTAAGTTTTGCCACATCTTCAAGGACTGTTACATGGATCTTAAATCTTCTACTTTTGTGGAATTCGAAGCATATTTGTGCATCCTGAGGTAAATGAGTTGGATATTTCAATTTTTTCTCATGGCTTTTGATTGTCTTTTAATTTTTCCCAACACTACAAAATATCTTGGAAAATTTACCACTTCATTTGTTATACTCTGCCACTGATTAGCCATATTTAGATCATGAAAGACTCCTTGAAGCTTTTGGAAACACAAGTGAGGGGTGCATTACATCTGTGGGGAGATGCCAGCATCAATTACGGTGTTATTTTTTCTCTTCGTCCTTTTCAGTTGTTTTGTTCCCATTTGGAAATAATAGATGTAAATACGGTATTTTTCTATGCCTGTGTGGTTGTCTTGTTGGAGGGAAGTATGTAATGGCAGAAGCGCATGGATTGGGGTTTTCCTTCGAACACTGCAAGTAGTATTTCTGCCATGGAGCCTTCAATGTGCAATCTAGTTATTTTGGCTTCTTGGTGACTGAGAATGCACATCCCTCTTCTGGCCATGTTCCTTAGTTATTTATGAAGCATTAACAAGAACCATCTACTACTTTTCAGGTGGCTGCACGTTTCTGGTCCCATGGGAATTCACACTATATTCTGTTCCACTGTGTATCAGACATCACTAGCTATTGTGATGGGCAGAGAAGCACTCATGTTTCTCTACCTGCTGGGGAGCCTCGGAGGGCAGGAAAGAAACCTAGTGCTCCTTGGGAGTCTGTATATTAATATATTGGCCTGGAAGGATAAGGAAATAAGACCGCCCACAGCAAGGCTGGCTGAGCTGCATGGTGCAGCAGCAATGGCCGAACAAAGATAAAACTTGCTTTGCTTAAAAGTAGATGTTTAAGCAATGCTCATTACAGGCAGTATTAAGTTTGCCTTTTGTTCAGGCCATGGCATGTATTGTTAGGATCACTCACAGCCTCCCCTCAGATGCTGAGTATACACTGTTCTTGCTGGGTGTGTTATGTGTGAGTGTACGCATGGTCCCAAATCTTGTTTTTTTTGTTTTTCCTGAATGTGATTGTGATTTGGATGATACCCGAGTAGAGTTGCCTTTTTTTTTATTTATTACCATTATATATTTTATTATATTATATATTTTTTGCTTTCTTACAATGTTAGAGAAAAAGTCAAATCTTGGTATTGTTAAAATTGTTTAAAAAAAGAAGTGGTCCAGTGGATAAATGAAAATCACTGGTTGGTCTTGAGTGAATTTTTCTTTGATTACTGTAGAATAATGTGCCAGCCACTGCTGTCAGAGCAGTGATTTTGTATGTACGATAGGAAGCAGGGATGCTTTCAATGGGAAGACGTGCAACACAGCAAGGGGAACTCCACGGATTTTTTTTTTTTCTACTTCAGCAATGGAACTGCAACTTGGAGCTTTTGTGAAAATTAGCTGCCTTGTATAGTCCTCTGAAAGAGACAGACATGATCTGTGAGAGAATTGAAGTTTTTTTCTAGAGGAAAAAGATATTTGCAAAAGATATTTCCAAAGATAAATGTGCCACAAATCTTTTGTTTGTTCTCTGTAATGAGGAGTAAATGCTGTTTTTAAAAAGTGTAATTGTTCATCTTCAAATTCTTTCCTTTTCACAAGAGGATCGAGCTGTAAAAAAAATAAATAAATAAAAATTTAGAGAAATCATTGGGGGTGAGTCTGTACTTTTTAGTAGTTTGAATAATTAAGATGGCTATGTGAAGCCAGACATGGAGTTGTGTGTAAGCTTGATATATCAGCACTCTGGAGGCTGAGGCAGCCTGGGCTATGTTGTGAAGGTCTATCTGGAAAAAAAAATTTTTCTCTATATGAAATTGCTGTCTATGCATTAAACATGGTCTCATGTGCTCTCATTCCCAGAATGTGTTCATTACCAAAGTAGGGGAAGTAATATGATGAGGTCACTTACCCTGCTTGGTCTATTTTAAGATTATAGTCATACACAAGCAAGTCTAATGTCACCAGGGTAGCCTGTCCTAATGTTGACTACCAGGTGTGTGCATCAGTGACCAAGTTCACCTGCTTTCAACTTCTTTGCTAAGTAAGCAGGTTTGTATTGAAAGGAATCTAAAGGCTAACTGGTCTTTGCTTCCTCTGCGGCAGATGTATTTCTCTCTCCTAAAAAATTTGAGCATGCATCTCTGGATGCTTTTCCAGAGAAAGTAAATGGTAACTAAAATACCATTACAGCCGCTAATAAAAGTTTTCAGTGTTAAATAGTCCATATTCAAAATTTCAGCAGTTTCCCTCAAACTGTCTTGGAGCTTTTTTTTTTTTTTTTTAAACATGGACTCCACCAATTTTGTTGGTTGTCTGTTTAGTCTATTGAGCACTTCCTCTCTCCCCTTGTAATGTCTGCCATTGTGCACTGGTTTCGCTCAAGTGTCCATTAACTCATTCCTAAAAACGGAAAGTCACAACTAGTAATTGGGTTCTATTTGGCCAGAATCCTCCCCAGGGACACCATACTTTATCCCATCCAAAGGTACTGGATGTATTATTTTATTTTGGTGCTGGTCCTGGGGTTTGAACACAGGGCTTGAGCAATGTCCCTGAGCTTTTTTTTCTGCCAAGCACCACTTCTGGACTTTCCTGCCCAGGCTGGCTCTGAACTGCAATCCCAGATCGGTCTCTTCCCTAGCTAAGAATACAGGCGTGAGCTGCCAGGGCCCAGCTAGAACTCTTTTATATATTTTCCCAAAAACCTTTCCATATTTTTAGAATCTATTTTGTGATCCTAACTTGAATCAAGTAACTTCATTAGGTGCTGAGAGCAGGTGTATTTTCCATCATTTTGTCAGTCCCAGAGAAAAGTTGGATGCAGTGGATCTGTTCTCGAACCCCACCATTCCTGGGTATTGTTTGGAAGATGGAAAAACTCACAGAACCTGACAGTGGGAAATGGAGTACTGTGTGCTTACACTTCTTACACTTTTGGGGGGGGGGTCCGGTCGTGGGGCCTGCACTCAGGGCCTGGGAGCTGTCCCTCAGCTCTTCAGCGCAAGGCTAGCGCTCTACCACTTGAGCCACAGCGCCTCCTCTGGCTTTTTTCTTTTTGCTTATGTAGTGCTGAGGAATCGAACCCAGGGCCTCAGGCATGCAAGGCAAGCACTCTACCACTGAGCCATCTTCCCAGCCCCACTTCTTACACTTATGCAACTTTTTTTTCCTCATGCATTGTGGCTTGCAGGACCTGGGTTGTGGCCCCTATATTAGAGACTGTGCAGAAGTCCTGATGAATG